GGCTTTATTCCAGGAATGCAAGAGTAATTCAATATAAAAAAAACAATAAATGAAATATATCACATTAACAGAAGAAAAGATAAAAACCCTGTGATCATATCAATTGATGCAGAAGGGAATTTGATACAATATCTCTTCATGATTAAGACTCTCAGGAAGGGAATTTGATACAACATCTCTTCATGATTAAGACTCACAAAATTGGTATAGAAGGGACATTTCTTTACATAATAAAATCCGTATATGACACACCCATAGCTAACATTAAACTAAATGGGAAAAAGCTCTCAGTAAAGTACTGGAAGGAGACAATATTGCCCACTTTCCCCACTTGTTTTCGACACAGTACTGGAAGTTGTAACCAATGCAATCAGACAAGATAGTAAAATAAAGGCATTCAAATAGGAGAAGTGAAATGATCTCTGTCTGCAGATTATATAATTATTTCCATAAAACAAACAAACAAAGGAATCCACAAAACACTCCTAGAAGTCATAAATGATTTTGTAAAGAATTGGGATACAAAATCGATTTACAAAAGTAGTGTTTTTATATACCAATAATCAACAGACTGAGGTAGAATCAAAGAAAGCAATCTTATTTACAATAGCCACAAAAAATTAAGGTACCTAGGAATAAACCTAAAGGAAGAGGCGAAAGACCTTTATAAGGAAAATTACAAAAAACTAAAAAAGAAATTGATCATGATACAGAAAAGTGAAAAGAAATTTTATTTTTCTGGATTGAAAGAATTAATATAATCGAAATGTCAATTCTACCTAAATTAATTTACAAATTCAATATAATTCCAACCAGACTACCAGAGACATTCTTCACAGAAATAGAAAAAAAATCACAAAATTTGTCTGGAATCCTACATGGTCCCATATTGCCAAGGCAACACTGTGCAAAAAGAATAAAGTAGGAGGTGTCTCACTTTCTGACTTTCAAATGTGTTACAAAGCTGTTATAACCAAAACAGCATGGTATTGGCATGAAAACAGGCATGTAGACCAATGGAACAGAATAGAGAGCCCAGAAATAAGACCCAAAACATATAGCTAAGTGGTCTTTGACAAATGACATAAGACAATCCAATGGGGAAAGAATAGTCTCTTCAGTATATGGTGCTGGAGGAATTGGATCTCCATCAACTGAAAAATTAAACTAGACCCCCCCATCTCTCACTATTAACAAAAATCCATTAAAAATAGATTAAAATCTACATTTAAAGCCTCAAATGATAAAACCACTGGTAGAAAACACAGGGAAAACTCTTGAAGGTATTGTAGTAGGTAAAGATTTCTTAAATAAGACCACTAAAGCACAGGCAATAATCCCCAAAATAGACAAGTGGGACTATATTAGGCTAAAAAAAAACTTCTGCACAGCAAAGAAAACAATAATAAGAATGAAGAGACAATACTCAGAATGGATGGTGGGAATTTTGCAAACTATGTTTCAGATCAGGGACTGATAATCAGAATATATAGTGAACTCAAGCAGCTTACCCGAAAACAACAATCCAATTGAAAAACAGGCATTTGAGCTGAGTAGATAAGTCTCTAAGGAAGACAATAGAATGTCCAAAAAAGCATATGAAAAAAATGCTCAAAATTCCCTATTATAAGGGGAAAAAACAATCAAAATCACAAGATACCACTTAACCCCAGTTAGAGTGACTATGATTAAAAAAACAAACAAACAAACAAAACCCAGCTGGTACTGGTGAGGCTGTTGTGAAAGGAACACTCCTATACTGCTGATAGGAATGTAAATTAGTACAGACACTGTGAAAAACAATATGGAAGTTCCTGAAAAACCTCCAAAAAGAACTACCATCTGGCCTGGTAATACCACTCCCTGGGTACCTATCCAATGGATAGAAAAACACTCATTTGGAAAGATACACACATACTTATTGTAGCATTATTCATAATTGCTAAGACCTGGTGTCAACCCGAATGTCCAAGAATGGATGATGGATTTAAAAAATGTGGGACATATACATTACGGATACTACTGAGTAATAAAAAAGCAGTAAGATCCTGTCTTTTGATACATAGTGGATAAATATAGAAGAGTTACTGCTAAGTGAAGTGAGACAGACTATGAGAGACAGACATAGTATATCTCTGCTCAATATACAGTGAATGTCTGCACTTTACGGAAGAAACTGAATGACTGGAAGATATCATAGCAGAAACAGCAAGTGTAGATACCAGAGATCATATGGCAGGAGGCAGAAAAAGAAGGGTGGGGTGGTGAGGGATTGAGGATAAAAAAAACCCACCAACACTTAACAGACACAGGAATGAAAAGTTATCTATTGAGAATGAGGTATATAGCAATATGTTTGACTTGATTGACACGCCATGCATGTATACCTTAAAAACCATACTGTGTGCTGTAAAAATGTACAATGATTGGGCCAGCAGGTAGTGTGGAGGTTAAGGCACTAGATCTCAGATGGCTGGATTTGCTGTTGAGTTCCAGACTAGGTGGTTTGAGAATCACACTGAGTGTATGTGTGCATGCCCAAATCCCCCAAGAGCAGGGTGTAGAAGAAGGGATTGTGGCGTGACCACCTCCCATGGGAGATTATTTCTTTCTTCTCCTGCTCCTATCTCTCTCTAGCAAGAGACATTCACTCTACAGCAAAAACCACACACAAAAAAAGACATACAATGATTAAATGAAAATTTTTAAAAAGAGAAAAATAAAAACTACACTTAGGAATGGAATATCATAAAGTTTTTTTTTCACAGAGCGACTCAACTGCAGGAGCCCCATTACATACATAATGTGTTTGTTCTGGGTCCAATTTTAGTTTTTACCCTTTTGGTCTAGGGCACCTGTGTAAAAGGTGAAAAGGCTTCCAGCCAAAATCTGAGTCTGTACGTATGCTCTTACAAACTACACTTAAGAATGGAATATCATGAAGTCCTTTTACACAGTTGACTCAATTCAAAGAGCCAAATCATATATATAAAAGATTTTACTGCAGGTCAAAGTTTGGTTTTTGCCCTAGTTGCATAGTATATCTGGATAGGCCTTTAAAACAACAACAACACTAAGAAGTCAGGTTCACTTTCTTTAAATCTAAGCTTCTATCCAAGCATGTAATGTTTTTCACAGCTGCATGGCTGCCCAGGCTTGGCTCTACACTGGAACTGGCCAATAGGTTTCCTTCTTGGCTCTCTTCTTCTTGGCGCAGCCAGTTACATGAACCAGATTTTGGACTTCAGAAATGTTCTTTGCCTATTAAGGAGTACTTGGCATTAGGTTATCTCTATGTTTGTGAGATCATCCCACTGATTTCATTTTTCTCCCTTTACTAGCAAAGAGGACTAACTAATACACTCCTTCCATGTACCAATCCTTCTGTTGATTTATATATGAAACCCAGATACTGACTCTTCCTGCTACTGGGAGTTTGTGTGTGTTATAGTTGGAGTGGAAAAGTGGTCTATAAAATCTAGCCTACTAGTAGCCATAAGGCCATCTACACATTGACTTTCTTTGCAGCTCCATTGTCCCATTAAAGGGGTTGCAGATGTCTGCTAGTGATGAGAGTAAAGAAAGTTCCATTCTCCACATTCTGGAGCCCTGAGGAAGACTCAGTCATTTCTTCATTTCAGATTTATTACGAAAGAATCCAAGTTCTACAGCACTGGTAGAGAAGTGTAGCATACAGATCTGAAGGCTAAACTATTGCTATCCCTGTTGAAGGCAGAGGCAGGAAGCGAAGGAGCACAAGGCTGTTATTCTTCATGATGAATATGCCTTGGGTCCCCTTGTCCTTCTTCATGTGAACACGTTCTCTGTCTTCCCTGTCTCCACACCAGAGTCTGCCTCCTAAAGGCTTAATCTCATCTTCATTATAAAATTGTGTCCCTTCTTCCAAGCATTTCTTGAGTCTCAGAAACCTTTAAAGACTTTTAGCAGGACATAGCCATCCTTATTATTGTCATTTTTGCAGCGAGGCTGGGGAAAGGAAAAACTCTGGATCCTAGAATTTGTGTGTGTGGGTAAACATCTGTGGCAATCGCTGCTATAAGGAAATCTTGCCTTTTCCCTTTATCTGGATGACTCCAGATCTTTAGAGGACACTGGACATCTTGCATTGGGAGCATTAATCACTTGCCAATACTCAATAACTGTAAAGTTTTGTGTCTCATTATGCAGAAAGAACATTTTTTTCTTTCTAACATTGGGTCAAATTACAAAGCCCTTTTTCTACTTATCTGTAACAAATTACTCCCAAACTTAGTGACTTTGAAAGTCCCATTGGCTCTGGTGTAGTGATGGGTACTGCTAAGACCTGTGCTCTGCAGGATAGGACCACATGGGAGACCTGTGTTCAATTTCTGGTCCAACCTAAAGGCCTGGTGGAGTGGCAGACGCCCTTGGTCCTGGATGGAAAACTGCAGGGAGATTGCAACATGGCTAGACCTTGTCTTATACAATAGCAGCCCCCCTCCACCCACGTATTTATCTTCTCATAAATCGGTAACTTGAGCGGGGTTCAGCA